TCTCTATAAAGGGGAGATGGTTAGTTTAGTCTCACAATGGGCTAGCAATAATATAGTTCAAATTCGCCTTTGACGAACCTAAGACCTCTCACTTACAACTGAAGAGGAATAACACTAGACCGTAGTACTAAGTTGCAAGTGAAACGTTTTATATTCGAATCTCATAAATAGTGAATTCGATACAGAATTAGTCAGCTCTTGGAAACCTATCAACACGTGTTTATCAAGCCGTGTTTATAAAGCAGGTTTAGTTAATAGTAAGGCCGGTTTGCCGTTTGTCCAAGCCATTTTTGGGCCAGTGTTTGGGCCCTCGTTGTAAACTAAAGTATTTAAAGGCCGAAGAAAACAGGCTACGCACAATACAAGACACAGGTCCTGCATTAAAGCCCACTTTAATGGAGACAATATACTAGTGGAGTGGGAGAATCACACTGCATGATTATTATGTTGAGTCTTACTTTTGGCTTTGCTCATGAAATTCAAACTTAATCCCACTTCTCCTCCTTGAAACAAAAGTATCGTTAATTTACAATATGAAACTCAACTTTTACTCCACTTTAACGATATTCCATTTGGATCCTTGCCGGATCCCCTTGGGATCCTAGGAATCAACGCACGTAGATCGTTGATCAAAAATCGTGCGGTCCCAATTAAATGATTTTTATATTTTTAAAAGTAAAACAGTCTCGTTTTGTGTAAAAAATATAAATAAGGACAAATTGTGACCGCATGATTTTTTATCAACGGTCCACGTGCGTTGATCCTTAAGATCCCCAGGGAAGGGATCCGACGAGGATCCAAATCCTTCTTTCAAATATGTGTTGAGTGTGCTGACGTATATGGGCAATACAATAATTTCGTTCTAATTGCTATGTGGTTTTCTTTTCACGTCCTTAACACCACCCCACCACTTTTGAATGATGCAGATACTTTAAATAGGATGATGCTATTCTCATACTCATTTTTACTTTTTATATATCTTTCTTAATTTTCAGTTGTTGGATTGAATGAATTAAAGAAGATCAATGAATAAAACTTAACAATGGTGTGTATGAAGTAAAAAAAAGTGTGTGAATAGCACAATTTTTTTTTTTTGAACAAACGATATTATTTATGCTAAGGGAGAGGGTGTGGATTTAGCCTTACAATAGACTAGCAATAATATGATTTAAATTCGCCTTTGGTGAGAATCGAACCTAAAACCTTATGAGTGAAGAAGAATACAATTAGACCGTATTATTAAGTGGCAATAGCAGTATCTCTTTAAATACTCATTTTTTAGATGCAGTTTTCGGTTGCCGGTTTATAACTAACACGTGGTTTAATTTGATTTGAGGCGTGTAAGTACTAGCCACTAACCAACTATTATCCCAAAACAAAGGATAGAACTTCGCTGCTGAAAAGATCAGCAGCAGCTAGTCACCAATCACGTTTGGACAAATATCTAAGTTTTGATTAAAAAATCAAATATTTGAACACGTGTTCAATCATAATTGGTGATCATCAGTAGTTGTTGCTCATCTTTCAGCAGCTAAGTCTAGTTCCAAAACAAACGGCATTAAAACATGAAAATTATTGCATTGACATACAATCAGTCAATCACCATATGCAATTTATAATTTGCGCAACAATTATTTAGTGGATCCATACCTTTTTCAATAGAGATCTGTTTCTTCATCTCTACACGTGGCCGCGCTGTCCTAGGTTGCAAGCGATCAACTGTACAACGTTACTTATTATTATTATTATTTATTATTTTATGTTCACCTTCCCCATCATGACCTAAATTGACTGCCCTTCCCTATTTCATACCTTTTTCATTCTCTTCTACTTCTGTGGTTACGATTATGCCACGTTAATATTTTATATTCTCATTACTTTTTGTCTTATTATTTCTATAAACAAAATTAATATAAAATATTGACGTGACTTAACTGTGACCACAAAAATATGAGAGGATGTGAAGGGTATGAGATGGGGAGGGCAGATAATCCAGGTCTCATCAGGTTTGGCCGACTGTCTGGTCCATAGATGGTACCACTCTACCAAATTCTTATATTATGTGCAAAGCTTAGTATTAATCAACCTCCAAATCTTAATGATGTTATGTTACCTTAACTAATAATCATAAACAAAGAAATTCAAGGGAAGCTTACTGATGTTTCATTTGGTCTTTCTTCTACCTTTCGCAAAGTCGCATGTTGAGTTGTCCCTAGCTAAGGCCTACCCCTTTGGCCCCCCTTGTTCAAACTTGAAGGTCACATTTCACCAGCAAACGACGGACCACAAAATATTACTCAAACAGTTATACCATGATGTAATGTTGCTAAATTATAATACGACCAAGACAACATAATTAGTTGAATGGTTACATATTTGCATAAAAAAATGAGTGAGTCCCATTATATTAGGTCTTATTCGAGCTCATATAAGTACAAGATCTTGACTAGCCAAATAGTTATGTATTTTTACAAAGAACGAGACTCGTTTATATTTAGGTATCATTCAATCTATATGAATAAAACTTCTCATACTCACAAACACACCATTTATGACATCGGCATGACCAGCTGATCTATCGAAGGTTTTTCTTTGGTACCAATTAACAAGTTGATATATATATATATATATATAAATGATATGATTAATGTGTCATCAAATTCATATACAAAATTTACAAATAAATCATGTTGCAATTTTCAAAAACATGTGAATAAATAATACTAGAAAATTCTCAGAACCATGGGTTTAGACCAAGGACAAAACCGTCCTTCCACCTTTGAGCATTACTCATGCCCTTTTGCAATCGGCCGGCCCCGCCTGCAATTTCATGGCGGAGACACACATGGCAACGTACAAATCGCCTTCCGATGTTTATGAGGCGGCCCTCTTTGCGGGTCCCACCCTTAATGGACTTCCCATGATTTCTATCGACCCATTTGACATAACCACGGCAAGTTTTCCGTCCTCTCTGACCAAAAAGACAAGTTTTCCTACTGCATGGTGGCTCGCCACTGACAGGGCGACACGTACAATAGTTAGAGGGATAAAAACGGAAAGAGATTCTCTTCTGATCTCATTTACCAAGATCACCAGATTAAGTCATTCAGATTTTTGAATTTTCATTCAACGGTCTACCTGTTTTGATTATTTAAAAACTATAATAATTTTTTGTAATTAGCTGAAATTCTAAAAATCCAAATCACTTGATCTGATGGCCTCGGTGAAAAAGATAAAGAAAAATATCTTTCCGATAAAAACGACCGCCAACGCGCATTTACCGTTTTCCAGTCAGCTTTTCCCGGTCAATATTTAACGCGTAATACAAATGTGGACAGGCAATTGTAAGTTTCGTCAACAGCTGAACGGGTCAACATTTATCAATTTTTCTGTTACAGTGAACATCTTTCTTCAATTAATAATTTAATACCATCTTATTAGTCATATTGGATGAACATGTTGCTAAATTATTTTGTTCAAATAATTTTACTTTTTAACATAACCAAAAATGTGCTTATCTCACATGTAAATAGTAATCTTGAAAAAGAAACTCATGAGTAAAAAGATTTCTCTCAAGAAAAATTTTAAGGTGGTCGTTATGTAATGTTATCAACACAGATGTTATAATATAAACAAAATTAATATGTCATGGATCTAAGGTTTCTTATTAATTAATAGATAAACTTGGAAATGGTGAATAGTCCCAATGTTAGGGGCATTTTTCTTCAATTCATCGTGTTTCAAGTTCAAGTTTTTTTTTTTAGGTAGCTTTAATAAATTTAGTGAAAAATTTCTTATTATTTGTACAAAAAATAAAAAATTAATAGATAAACGTGTGAGTTGGTTGATGAAACATATAACAATGTGACAGTTTAACAAAAAAAGGCTTGGCAATTATGAAGATATAAACAATTATTTCCTTAAAAGATACATGCAGTCCAAATAAATATCACTTAGCCCCAAAAGAAAATAATTCATTCTCTCATTATGTGTGTGACAATTGATTTTTCTATTTTATTTCATTTTCGTTTGATAATATATTATTTGTTGGTTTTTTTTTTGGTTAAATTTTAAAGTTTTACTTGTTTTAGTTATTATTTTTTTATTTATAAAAATATACTTTAGAAAATATTAAATTTATTAACCACCTACCGTCTCATTATATGATGGTTTTTTTTGTGAATTTATTTTTTCTTTTGAAATTTTAATAAAAGAAGCGTAATTTTGAGATTATGAAAGCCTCACCCTATATTTATATACAGATACACTAATTTTCGTTATTTTAGTGATTACTAGCTTATACCCACACGCTTTGTGTGTGTGTGTTTTTTTTTGCTTTTTTCTTGGAAAATATATGGGAGAAAGAAGTTGCATAGAAATGGTGAGAGAGAGACCGTGAGAGAGTGGGAAGATTTTTATATTTTTATTTTAAATAAAAGATATGTTATAATGACATGTAAGACCTACTCCAACCCTGGGCTAAATGCCAAATATTTAGCCCAAAATTCCCCCCAAACACCCCCCAACCCAAGCTAAAATATTGGGCTAAAAGGGGAATGCTAAAGTTGGGCCAAATTCCCCCCCCAAATTCCCCCGGGCTAAATGCGAAATGTTTATCGGAATTTAAATTTTTTTAGATTAAAATGTTCATAAAATTAATTTACAATAATCTACATATTTATTTTTAAAAAAAAAATTGATTTAAGAAAAAAATTTAGGCTAATTTCATTCTTTAATAATTCCGGGCTAAAATTTTAGGGTAGAAGGGTTGGAGCATAAAAGATGTTTCTGGGCTAAAAGCTAAATTTTCCGGGCTAAAAAATTTGGCTTTTAGCCCAAGGGTTGGAGATGGTCTAAGTGACCGGAAAAAAAAAAAAGCAAATTAATTTGTGTGAAATTACAATACGGAGTTTAGATTCATAATTTTTAAATAAATAAAGTGATGCTAATTAAAGTAAAAAATGGTCGAACCAAGTAGCGAAAGAAAAAATGATATCAACACTTCGCAAAAGACCAAAACAAAGTCTTTACAAAAGACCAAAACAGTTTCTTTATGGTTTCCCACCGTTTAACGCTTTAGACGGGAAGTTTTTCAAATCCATCACTCGCTGCACTTGCTCTCCCGTTTCAAATTTTCTCGGCGAATTTTCTCGCACTTTCCGGCATTCTTCCCAAACAGAAAGTTTCCGCTTCCGCTCCTTCTCCTCACAAGGTGATTTTTAACCTTTGTCTTATTAGTCACATCGCTAATTTTAAGTCCTCTGTTAGTCATCTTCATAATTTTATCCTTTTGCTGTAGCTTGCGTCCCGAGTTGTTCTTCTTCGGCTGCTTCCACGTTCGGATCTGTCCAGTCCGGTCGCTTGCTTCTTGCTTCAATCGATTCGAGAACTGTTTGGTTGCCGAGAAAGTTGACGATTCTATCAGAATCGAGCTCAGCATAGTGTGCCGTTTTAGTAACAAGACGATCGGAGGTATTGATTTTCTCACTCCAGAACTTTATGGTTCGTAATTCGAAATTCGAAATTAAGCTTCAAATGAACCAGAGAAGAAAATGTTGGATTGATTATTCGACCGAGAAATCTAATTCACTTTATTTTCCGTAATTTCGCCTGAATTTATTACTTCAAGAGCTGTGAGATTGTAGATTTCAATTTCTCAGTATGGTCCCTGAACTTCTAGCAATTGCAGTATCGTAGAGATTTGACCAGTTGGTCTGTGGAAATTTTTGACAAGGAATTAACCGCTACTGGTTGTATTTTGTTGAAAAGTCTTAAAATATTATTTCTTTTTAATGGAAAATTTCAACTTTTTCAGAGCAACTTTCCTCACACCGGATAATGTTGATGAAAGAGAAACCACAAGTGATCGCTCAAAGATAAATAACTCGTCACTCTAAGGAATCTACCAAAGAGATAAGAGTTTAGGGACGGGAAGAAAACGTTCTTCACTAAACCAAGTTTAGAAGTAATTCTCAATTTCTGGATAATGTCTTTCCGTACATGAGGAGGGGGTTTAAATAGTCTGGGCATGGAACAACCTTCCGTGAATAGGCTAACCCTTATTAACAATTGTATGAACTATGACTTCAAATTGTGCATAAACTTAATTTAATACTGATCATGAACTTAAATGAAAACATTGAACAAGCTTTTAATGAAATAGGATGAATGACCATGTAATAATTAGACAAGTCCAGATTCGGTGTCATATTTGGTGTTTCTGGAAATAGTTGGGGAAGCAAAGTGGACATTTAGGATTTAGATCCAGATAAGATGCGAATGAAACGATTGAAGTTGGGGTACCTTGAGAATTATATGTGTGCATAGCATTGCTTATTTATTTTCGTCTGATTTTTCAGTTGCTGATTTTTGTAAGTTCTTGTAGACTGATTAATTTGGGTTTTGGTTCAGTGTGGTAGTGTCTCTGGAAGATAGAGTTGTTGCCAGAGCCATAGTTGGTTTCTCTTTGGATGGCAGTCTGAAAAGGAAGATGTGAAACATTTACTTGACACTTGACAGAAGTAGAGATCCTTCCACGAATACCAGTATACGTCTTGTGACCTGTTGATTTCTTACCGAAGATCCTTAGCTATTTGTATGTCATAGATCATTCTTCTCTCTCTTTATAAGCACCTGATCTCTTGGATTTTCCTGTGAGGGATTGACGTTTAGTGATTCATGCGCGTAATTCTCAAAAGGTGTTAATTGGGCTGCATGATGATCAATAACTTGGGAAATTGGGCTAAGAGCTGTTGATGCAATTTCTTAATCACCAGAATGAAGAAATCGTATGGCGGTATTGTGGCTGCATGTCTATTCATGCTGCTAGTTTTGAGATATGGCATCATAAACTATCCTGCTGGGGATAGTTTCTTAACCAATGCATTCTACACGAATATTAGTAATCCTCTTGAATGGTTAGATACTACTCCACCTGCAGTTCAGAATCCAGAGAATACTGCTGAAGTGATTTCTGGAGAGACTATAGTCTTTAGCCTCTTTGCTCAGAGGAATGTATCCAATGAAGAGCGGCAAAATATGCAGACATGGAACCTTTTGAAACATCTGATTAATCAAGCTCATGGTTTGCCTAATGGGGTGGATGCTATAAGGAAGCTGGAGTTGCATGGAATAGTCTTATGGCTTCGGTTGAAGAGCAAAGACTTGGTTACACAAATGAAATTTCACCTGGGAAAGCAAAAGAAAAGCAATGTCCTCATTTTCTTAATAAAATGAATGGGACAGGATTCGACAATAGTGTTTCTAAGTTGCGGGTCCCTTGTGGCCTAACTCAAGGTTCTTCAATTACAGTTATCGGCATTCCGAATGGACTTCTTGGAAACTTTCGAATTGACTTGACAGGGGAGCCTCTTCCAGGGGAGCCCGACCCACCCATTATATTGCATTATAATGTTAGGCTAAATGGTGATAAGGTAACTGAGGACCCCGTAATTGTCCAGAACACATGGACTGTTGCTCATGATTGGGGTGAAGAGGAGCGTTGCCCATCCCCAACTCCTGAAAAGAATAATAAAGGTAACTTGCCGCCTCTTTTTCTATTAGTCGACTATATCAAAGATTTAGTATGTAGATTTGTTTGACATATTACAGTTGATAATTCATTGACTTATTGTGCCCGGTGACAAATAGTAGAATTGCAGTTACAGTAACATGAAACAGTTTGTCAATAGCTTTGTAGCCCATTCTTCCTTTTCACGTCATGGTGTGCATCCAACAGATAAACTCTTTTCTTTACCAGTAATGCATATTATGTTCGACCCTATTAAATAAAAATTATTACTTTGTTAGTCCAAGAAAGTTGATAATTGCATTACCTACGTTAGACACATAGTATTTCTGCTATAAGTTAAGAAACATATTCAACCCATATTTTGCCTCAAGGATTCAATTTATCCAGAAGAAGGCTGTCTTCAATAAGCTATTTGGTGCAGTTACTGGTGATAGTTGTCTATAATTCTTTTTACGTTTGGGTCATAGCATGCAACTGATCGTAATGTTTCCATGTGAAACCATGCTCAGTTACTTGTTTCTGTGTAGTTTATAAGGCCTATTTATTTTTACTCTTTCCTTATCTTAAATTGTTAATGATTGCCAGTGGATGAATTGGACCAATGCAACAAGATTGTTGGAAAAACTGAAGAGCAGAGGATGCGTTCCAATGTTTCAAGGCAGGTTTCAACTGTGCAAGATGGATCAAAGTCCAGAAGATACTTTCCATTTAAGCAAGGTTATCCATTTGTTGCTACACTTAGAGTTGGTTCAGAAGGAATCCAAATGACCGTTGATGGGAAGCATCTAACATCTTTTGCATTCCGCGAAGTAAGTTCTTCAAATTTAGTTCTTCTTGTTGCTTTTGGAATTAAAACGTAAAGTCCCAGTGAATTCATATGCTGTTTTCCTGGTTTTCTGTTCAGACTTTGGAGCCATGGCTTGTTAATGAAGTAAGGATATCTGGGGACTTGAAATTAGTTTCTGTCCTAGCCAGCGGTTTACCCACATCAGAGGAGTCGGAGAACATAATTAATTTAGAAGAACTCAAATCTGCACCTCTCTCTCCTCACAAACAAATGGATCTCTTTATTGGTGTTTTCTCTACCGCAAACAATTTTAAACGAAGGATGGCAGTTCGAAGAACATGGATGCAGTATGCAGCTGTGCGATCAGGGGCAGTTTCAGTTCGATTTTTTGTTGGTTTGGTGAGCTCACATGTGAAACCTTGTTCTTTGTTATTACAACAGTTTTTTCTCCATCATCGGGCATGTTGCTCATCAATGTGCAAAATTTATGACTGTTTTCACCAAACCATATTTACGCTGTCTTTTCTATATTTTTGTTATGTTTTCTTTGAGTCCTTTTGCTAAATTATTCATCGAGTTTGTAACGTAATGCAGCATAAGAACCAAATAGTGAACGAGGAGCTTTGGAACGAGGCACAAACCTATGGAGACATACAGCTGATGCCTTTTGTTGATTACTATGGCCTCATTACCTGGAAAACTTTGGCCATCTGCATCTTTGGGGTAAAATCCTTACTTTTTCTTGAGTGCGTGGCGTGGGGATATCTCTTCTTTTTCTAATTGATTTGATCGCTTCAACAGACGGAGGTTGTTTCAGCGAAGTTCGTTATGAAGACGGATGACGATGCATTTGTTCGTGTGGATGAAGTGCTAGCTTCCTTACACAGGATCAAAGTGAATCGTGGCTTGCTCTATGGCCTCATTAACTCAGATTCTCGACCTCATCGAAGTCCAGATAGCAAGTGGTATATCAGCAATGAGGTAATTTTCTACACTTTGCCAACTTTGCAAGCCGTGGTACAACTGAGTTTGTTCCCCAAATTAGGAATCAAATTACAATATCTTAAATTGATGCGTAGTTTATCGTTGTAAAAGGTTAAAGAAATTGTATTCTGCTTCTCACATTTTTTCCCGTTCGCTGTGTCTGCTGCGGTAATGAAGGAATGGCCTGAAGCAACTTACCCACCTTGGGCGCACGGTCCTGGTTATGTGGTATCGAATGACATAGCAAAGGCAGTTTCCCAGCGATATAAAAAGGGCAGATTAAAGGTAAGAAACAATCTACGTTTTGCAACCAGTCTATCACTATAGCTTCTGAATCGAAAGGAAGAAAGTTTTAATTTGGAACGGTTTCTGTATCTGAAAGAGAACACTGCTTTGTTATGATCAGATGTTTAAGCTGGAAGACGTGGCGATGGGTATCTGGATCGCGGATATGAAAAAGGAGGGTCTAAACGTACGGTATGAGAAGGAAGAGAAGGTCTACAACGAAGGATGCAAGGACGGGTATGTCGTTGCACATTACCAAGGTCCCAGGGAGATGCTGTGTCTCTGGCAGAAAATTCAAGAAGGGCAAGTTGCTAAATGCTGTGGTGGTGATAGGTAGACACAGTTAGATCATTCGTTCCATATCGGAACCTTTTAGTCGCGATCAACCTCCGAAGTTGAAGAGAGAAATCTTGGTTAGCCCGATCATTTTGTCTGAGAGTAGATGACCGAGATTGACCAAAGCCGAGACCCTACCAAGGCGCTAACTAAAAGAGGAGAGAGTTGTTTCAGTAACGAGCCTACGATTGCTGTATATTTTAGTTCATACTATGTAGCAACGCCATAGGATATAGTAATAGAGGTGGAGTTGATGTATAGAATTCACGCGCATACAAATCTATCTGGACAAGAAACCATGCTGAGAAATTGCAATCTCGAATGCCTGAATCCTTTCCCCAGTAGCAAAACCGTTGCGATCATAAGATGATATTTCATGTATGTTAAGTTCATTGCAGGCCTTGACGAACTCCTCACTGAGACGTTTAGCAGCTTCCTCGGTCTTTGGACGTGCCGTTATACTGATTCAGAAGCGAAAAAGACAGCAATTCCGGCGGATCAGAAACCAAAGCAACCAATACACACATATTTCATCAAATGCAGGGAAGATGACAATGACATTACCTTCTTCTGCATTCTTCTGTTTCGTGTTTTCGCACTATCCGTCCTGGCATTCCCCCTCGCTCTCATAACGAACGGCTTCACCGAGAAACCTACACGAAACCCAAGCTTTAACAGTAAACCAATAACACAGAGTTGCATGCACAGCAGCACAAGTAGTGTAAGTTGGGATCATCCACTTGTTCTTCCAGTCTGCTGCATGGGTTGAATTTGAAAGATGGAAGTTGCCGAACGAAGATCCAAAAACGCAGAAGTCGAGAACTTGAGAGCAGCAGCATTCGCAAGAGCCATACCCAAACCACTTTTATGTTCAAAAGAAGGTCGTTGAGGAATTTCATCAAACACCTTGCGTGCGGTCTTTTCAGAAAGTTAAAATTGCACTAATTTTGGAAGTTTCGTAGCGTGCATTCTGGCGGAGAGGCACAGTTTCCGGTTTGGCGGATCGGGCTTGAATGTACCAGAAAGCAATGTCGTCTTAGCTAGGCGAGGGTGTATGTCAATTTTCTATTTATTTTATTGGGATTTTATCTCTTAATTCATATCATTCGATTTAACGGTAAAAAATTAAAATTATGTAAGAACTAAAGGTGTGAATATTGTTATTTTTTTATAAATATAATAAACAAAAAAAAAAAACATAATTTTAGTTCATACGCCACGTGTAGTGTGACAGTAGTCCCACCTATCTTCTTAAAAAAAATTATTGTAATTGGAATACAAATAGTACATTACGTATATTTATATAAGTGGTCAAATATTTATTTTTAAAGTTATTAATTTTTTAATACACATTATACTATTTGTGTAATGATACATGATGTACTTTTCGTGTTCCAGTCACACTGAAAAAATTTTCATCCTCTACAATGAAAGATTTTTCAATGTGACCAAAACACAAAAGGATACTGTTGACCCTAAAAACTACCAAGCCTACGTGGCGTGCAGGCCGAGTAATCTATAAGCTAATTACGTCATTCGGTTGAATGCGGGGTGTGCCAACTCGTCGGCCGAGGAGTAAAATTTGTTGATGTTGCGTTGGGTGCGCGGCTGACTTCTGCGTCTTGCGATTGCGACCAAGGAAAGAACACGTTTCGGCCTTTTGGGTTCTCGAACCTGAAGACAAGGCTACTATTCTTACGAAGTTCACGAATCGTCGTCGTTGGATTCGGTCACAGTGATGGTATTCGTCAGAGTAAACTCACGCCGAATCGACACTAAAGTGTAAGAGCACAAATACTCAAAGCGGATATAAGTCTTAATAGTGAACGTGGTTCGGCCGTCTGAATGCTGAACTCTAAATCCCACTTGAGAGTATCCAATCATAAAATAACTCGGCGTGCAATGCGCCGAGCTCAGTAAACTGTAACACCTCACCTCGCCGAGAAGGCTAATGAGATGACCTCGATCAATAAGGATTCAGAAATCTTTCTCGATCGAGACTTGGATAGGTAACCAACCGCCATCGCCGCAGTGCTGTTGATGCCAACAGAAGATGCTGCGAGATCGGCTGATTCTACGGCGACAGAGTTATCTATGCCAACTGAAGATATCAACGGTTGTTTTCACAGTGCTGTTGATGCCAACAGAAGATGTGTCAGCGAAAAGAGAAAATAAAAATCTCAAAGTTGTTGAGAGAGTTTGCGCAGGGTAGTTGTGTGTTGAATTGGAAGAGGCTTTGAACAATGCACATCCTCCTTTATTTATAGCGTCAGATACTTCCTAAGTAGAGTTAATCTGAGTAGTGAAACCCTACTCGGATGAGGACTTCTTCTTCTAATCAAACACCATCTCGAATACTCATACTCCCATCAGGATTTTGGACCTAGCCTTTCTATCAGGTCGTATTCAAAATGCGTCTTGACCTCCTCATCTCACCGGGACTCCTTATCACATCAGGATTTCTGTTAGACGCAGAGTTTCCCACGCCTCTTCCTTATCCAGGCCGCTCATTTTCCCAATGGGGCTTGACCGACTCCAATTAAGCGGCCATGAACAAGACGACCTCTAACAATAAATCCTTATGGGCCGAGAATGATTCCACACTCGGCCCAAACCAATATTTGGGCCTAAACATTGCCCCCTCGCTTCTGAGGTCTTCGACCTAAATTCTTCGGTCGAGCTCTGACCTTGAAGAAGCGAAACTAATACTCAGAATCCAAATACTCTATTTCCAAGGCGCATTTATGGAGCACGATTTGTACGATCTCGATCCTGCTGACCAATCCACCACGTGGCATCCTTTAACACGGCTAACCCCTAATAGTGACATTTAAAGCGTGCGGCTCACTGAACCGTCTTACTATCATGACCTTGTTGCTGAAACAACCATGCCACCTTGATTCGTGAACCATTCAACATCGTGCAGATGCCAAAACATCTTTCACTGTAAATCTCGTCGCCACATGCAATCATGCGCCCCCTAAAACACGAAACCCTCGGTCTTCTCAATTGGATTCTCTGAATGTTCATAATGATTAGCGAATTCTTCGTTCGATTTTACCCTTCATTTTGAATTTCAAATGATTGCCCTTCCTTCCACAATTCTATAAATACCGAAATTCCTTCATTTATACTTTACGCTTTCAAATTCTCTGAAATTCCTTGCCATTGCTCTCCAGTGAATCCCCTTCTTCCAGATCTTCGTCTTTAAATCCCCAACCCAGAAAACTCCTCTTGCGTCGCATCTTCAACCCACTTACAATGGCCTCCTTCATCTCCAAGCTTTCCAAGCAATATGACCAATGCCAGAAAATTATTGATCGAAGTTCGATCAAAACCATACGTTTTGAAAGTGACATGAGCACCCCTCATCAAATCCTTGGTCCTCTCTTCAAAGCGGCGGTACCACTAACCATCACTGAACTTCTCAAGGAGCACTGTCTATCACCCTTATTGCAAGGGTTTGAATGGTCGAAGTAGGACCTGGCAAGGCCTCAAGGTTCATGGCCCTCGACCACTACAGCCTGGGCAGCTTGGGTCGTACGAATGGAAAAACTCTTCGGCAAGCAATGGAAAGCCCTAAGCATCTATGACGCCATTCATCTCTCATCCATAGAAGTTGTCCTGGACAAGGAGCTTCTCCTAGCAGCCTTATGTTTCTAGTGTTCGGCCATTAACAACATGGTCCTCCCTCTCGGCCCCATTGGTCCCACCATTCTTGACATTATTGCCATCTTAGGGACTTCCCCGACTGGGGTCCCAATCGACGCCGTCGTCTCTGGGTACTCGTCGAACCTTGACCTGAAAGCGCTTTTCGACAAATGGGCCCTTGAGACGCTGAGCGGTGAAGGCCAAACACCTTCGAAAGAAGAAGTTCACAAACTTCACAAACTTCATAAGAACTTCTTCAACTATAACACCCTCTATCTCCATTTTACCGACCGATGAGAAGAGGTTCTGCGAGAAGGGGAACACGAGGCTTTCCTCTTCTATTGGTACAACAAATTTATCTGTTGTACCAAATCCAACAAATGTTTGGTCGAGAACATGCCAGTGCCCGAAGCCTTAGCTAGCGGTCACACTCTGACACTCAGCCCGACCATTCTCGCCCATTTCCTACGCTGCTTGGCCGATACGACCCTAGATAAGGTCGACCCGCACCATAATGGTCCCCTCTAGGTCTTCCAACTCTGACTGCAGGTCTACTTCACCCCTCTTCGGCCAACGATTGCTGATTTCTCGCCCACGGAAGCGCTCGGCCCTCAGCTGGCTTCTCGGCCAACACCCCCTCACCAAGCTGAATAGGTGTTTAAATACTTTTTCGCTCTCGACGACCTTTCTAACTACGAGCTCCTGATCTGTCGTCGTCGAGAATACCCTTCGTCGATCAGGCTTCCTACATCAGCGTGGGGCGCGGATGAAGATGCTGACCTTCTTCAATCTTGGGGGTCTTTCGTGCTTACCTACGACCTACCACTCGGCTGTGATGGTCGTCGAGCAGGTTGGGAAGTGTATCATCCCAACTTCCTCGCTCGGTAACTTGGCTACCTCCAAGGTTACCCGGTCCCCATTCTCTCCTCACGATTCGTCCTAAGTTGCGGACGCGAACCTGGTTCTTTAGAGAATGAGTGCAATGACGCCAAAAATAAGTTCCATGAGCGATGCCAAAAACTCCGCCTTCGACCGGTCACTCCAGAATCTCTTAGCACCGATACCTTCGACGATTGGTGGGAAGAATACACTCATAGCTTCTTCAGCGCACCGATCGAAGATGTCATTAACAAGATCCTTGGCGATCGTCCCCACAAGGCTCCTGCTCCCCAACCTAAAGAGGCTACCCATGGTATATAACTTTCTTTATATATTTAGATATATATATCCTTATTGTTATTGAATTGGCTTTCAATTCCCAGGCAGCCGAGCATCGAAAAAGGTAGAAGCAGTGGCTACTATTCTTACGAAGTTCACGAATCGTTGTCGCTGGATTCGGTCACAGTGATGGTTTTCATCAGAGTAAACTCACGCCGAATTAACAGCAAAGTGTAAAGGCACAAATACTCAAAACGGATATAAGTATTAATAGTGAACCTGGTTCGGCCGTCTGAATGCCGAACTCTAAATCCCACTTGAGAGTATCCAATCATAAAATAACTCGGCGTGCAATGCGCCGAGCTTAGTAAGCTGTAACACCTCACCTCGTCGAGAAGGCTAATGAGATGACCTCGATCAATAAGGATTCGGAAATTCTTCTCGACCGAGACTTAGATAGGTAATCAACTGCCCTCGTCGCAGTGCTGTTGATGCCAACGGAAGATGCTGCAAGATCGGCTGATTCTACGGCGACAGAGCTATCTATGCTGACTGAAGATATCACCGGTTGCTTTCACAGTGCTGTTGATGCCAACAGAAGATGTGTCAGCGAAAAGAGAAAATAAAAATCTCAAAGTTGTTGAGAGAGTTTGCTTAGGGCAGTTGTGTGTTGAATTGGAACAATGCACAGCCTCTTCTATTTATAGCGTCAGATACTTCCTAAGCAGAGTTAATCCGAGTAGTTAAACCCTACTCGAATGAAGACTTCTTCTTCTAATCAAACACCATCTCGAATACTCCTACTCCCATCAGGATTTTGGACCTAGCCTTTCTATCAGGCCGTATTCAAAATGCGTCTCGACCTCCTCATCTCACCGGGACTCCTTATCACATCAGGATTTCTGTTAGACGCAGAGTTTCCCACGCCTCTTCCTTATCCAGGCCGCTCCTTGTTCCTAATGGGGCTCGACCGACTCGAACTCTAACAATAAATCATTCCGGGCCGAGAATGATTCCACACTTGGCCCAAACCAATATTTTGGACCTAAACAGATACATTACGTGTTACTATGCAAATAATGAAATATGTATGTAAAAAATTTAATAACTTAAAATGTAAAATTTTACATTACTTGTATAAAAACACGTAATTTAAAAAAATTTCTCCTCAACAACCCCGATACATTTAGGTTTTCTCCAGAAGTTCCAGATCTTTCTACACCCTTCTTTCTTCCTTGTGTGGTCATTCTCCCCCGTCACCTCTTAAATCATTCCCCTCGCAATCGCTAAACCCCATTCTCTAATTTTTTCCAATTTTTTCTCATTTTTCGTTTTCCCCAAATCTCCCTGAAAATTTCTCTGTTTACGCTTTC